AGTTGAATATTGATGAATGTTTCGAAAATGAGTAGCGCCTCAAAGTGTTTTGAAATAAATTCGAAAAAAAAATTTATTCTGATTTTCGACAAATAAAAGTGGGGCGTTACACTTTCTCATTTTATTCACTTTGGGCGGGAAATGGCTTCTTTTTTTTGCTGATTTTTTTTCATCTTTTTTCAAATAAATATCATTCACTCTTTATATATTAATATATTCCCAATTAATCCACGATTAAACGCGGTATTACAGTCTGATATAGCCACAGCTAGTACTGCCGGCTCGACCGTTAGTATCTGATATATAGCAAGTCATACCCGATCGGTTTTTATGGATATATATTGAAGAATACGCCCATACATGGGTTAAGACACTTGATATGATAGTATGGGCAAAGCCCAACTTAGGCCAAGCTCAATTTGGAATATAAGGTACACTCCCCTATAAAAGGGGGGCTAAGGTACTCATTTCCCACATTCTCTCTTGATTCCATTACCATTCTCTCTCTCTCTCTCTCTACACTCTCTCCCTACTCTCTCTCTATGCATATGAATACAGTACTGACTTAAGCGTCGGAGGCCCAAAGCCGGGCACCCCCCGGGGTCCCTGGCTTTGGGTTCTTGCAGGTATCGTGGCCGTCTGAGTCGAGGGAGCCGGGATCTTTGTCCCATCATTTTGGCGCCGTCTGTGGGGACCCGTTAAAAAAGCCAAATGGTGTCCCGTCTGAAAATTCGAACAAAGCACCTTCGACTCGAGCAGCCGCCGGCCCGCTGCCACCGGCACCACCGCCGGCCTCCGGCCTCCAGCCAAAGTGGCCGGATCGGAAAGATTCTTACACCATTGGATAGATCTCCCCGAGGAGAACCTCCGCTTAAAATTTCATTCGAAAATTCATCCGGGAAGGCCGTCGATTTTCCGGTCAAAGTTTCCAGATCTAAGTAATTCCAGTCAACTATCAACCTTCAAACCAATTTTTCCGACAATCCGGGAAGGCTATCGGAAATCGGAGGGTACCACCGAAAGCCTCTCGCCGAGACGAACCTTCTGACTCCGACCTCTGCCGTGTGCCGCCGCCGGCCGCCGCCGCCTCCACCGGTCAAAGTGCTCCAATTAGAAAACTGTTGGTACCATCATGAAGCTCTCGCGAAGCTCGTCCTACCCTTGCAATCTCACGCAAAAATTCAAACCGGAGGGTCATCGATTTTGCGGTCAAAATTCTGTAGATCTAGAACACCGATCAACTTCGTCTTCCCCGGCTGCCTTTTCGTTTTCACGGTGATTCCCGACAACTCACCTCTAACCAGCGGCACCGTCGAAGTCTACGTGTTGAGCCGCACCCGGACATGGTCTCGTTTACCGGGAACGACGAGGTTGCTCGCCGGTCATTTCCCGGCCTTTTCTGCCGGAACACTTCCAGGCCAGCTGGAGCTCGTCGCCCACCACGCCCAGGGCCTCCGTCCAATCCACAATCTGAGAATCTACTCCGCCTGCCAGGGATCTTCTCGAGTCTCGCCGGTGAAGTCGAAGGCCGCCGTCCGATCCTCCGCTCGAAGCTCTGGGCCGCATGTTCCCCTCTCAACTCCCGGCCCATGCAACTCGGGAAAGGTGCAAGTCATCGCCCAGACCCGTCGATCTGCAAGTCATTGCCCAGAGACCCGTCGATCCGCAGCTCATCGCCCTTCTCACATTTCCAGTCGATCTGCTCCAGCCCAAGAAGGGAGCCCAGCACCGCAGCCCAGCTTTTGCAGTCTAGTTGCGCAGAAGCCCGCGACCATAGCCCAGTGTAGAGGCCCAATCGCACGGGGCCCAAGAGGAAAGCACTGTAATCGTGCAGGCCAGACTTGGCCCGCGAAGCCCGAGCACCTTTAGATGTCAGCCCGCGAGGGCCCGCGCTCAGCCCGCATGTGGCCCGCGCCTGGCCCAAGTCCCTTCAGCCCAGTTGGCAGTTTTCTGCGGCCCATGAGTGATGCAACCGGGCTTGTGAACGCCCCAGTTCGGCCCATCAACGCCCCAGCTTCCCATTGCGGCCCAGCGCGCGCCCAATAAGCCCATAACGCGCCCAACTCGATCCAAAATGGTCCAACAAGGCTCGGACAACCCTTATTCAAGCCCAAGGCTATTTTGGGAAGGTAAATTTGAGTTGCTTGAAGATACGAAATTAATTTAAATGGTTATAAAAGAATTTTTAAATGATTGAAAATTAGAGAATATTTGATTTATTCATGAATATTGTTTGTTTTATTCATGGAAGATATTTGACATACTTATGGGAATAATTTAGTATATTCCCGAACACATCATTCGATTTTTTCGTGATCAATTGGATTTACTCGCATGATGATTTGATTGATTTGCAAGCATATTATGTGATTTTTACATAAAACATAATTGAATTATCCTTGTGAGATATTTGATTTATTCATGAAGATTAATTGTCTTACTCATGAAAATACTTGCTATACTTGTAGAGACGATATTCGATTTATTCGCAAGTGTACTATGTGATTCATTCGTAAGAGCTACTTGAGTTATCCTTGAGAATTATCTGAATCATTCATGGGAGTCATCTGATTTGCTTGCGGAAAATTACTGGATTTATTTATGAAATTACTTGATTCATTCGGTTCGCTCGTGGAGGAATTATTTGATTTTTTCGCTCAATTACTTGATTTTTTTTTCCAAACGATAATTTTACTCAAATAAATAGAAAGTTTACAACCGGATGGCCAACTAGCCATAATACAACCCAGAGAACCACACCCTACTGGTGGCCTAGAACAAGAACAACAAGCACAACAGGCATAACCAAGGTTAGACAACCTGTGCACTAAAAAAGAAAACAACGTAAACTAAGAAACCAACAACAACAGAAAATCCAAGCCACTGAACCATAATGGACCTAGCTATGGACAATACAGACTACTAACTACCAACAAAGCAAAGGGAAACAGAAAAGAAAAAACAGAAGAAAACAAGATTAAAAATAGCTAGAGGCCTCGGACCACTCTCTTTGAGCCATCTTGGAGATAGTCACTTCTGGTAACCACTCTTTTTTGAAGATCCAAAGGTTTCGGGACTTCTATAGCCACCATAAGATATAGGTGGACAGTGAAATACGAGCTTCAGTGACTGGATTCATCTTCATCTCAGCAATATTCCACCACCAGCCTTTAAAGCCTGTTGTCTTAGCTTCAGTGAAGTCCCAAGATAAAGGAGTTGCTTTCCAAACCATCTGAGCTCTTCTACATTCAAAAAATATGTGAGTTACAAATTCCAAACCATCCCCACAGCAACTACACACAGGATCAACTTCCATTCTCCTCTGCTACAGGTTAAGAGCAACTGGTAAGTTATTAGTAAAACATTTCCATAGGAAGTGTCTCAACTTTGGTTTAACTCTCAGTGTCCAGCACCTCATTCTTGCTTTTCTATCCAAAGTCAGAGTGTAGCTACAGCTAGGAGAGTCTAACTGCAAGACCTTATGATCAATAGCTGTCTTATAGGCAGAAGCCACAGAGAAAATGCCCTTAGAATCAGGACACCAGATCCACCTGTCTCTGGTCTCAGGGTTCAGAGTTTTCATATTCAGAATGGCAGTACAAGATTTTGGTGTAAACAAATGTTGCAATAATTCACAGTTCCAAGATCTCCCAGAATCAGAAATTAACTTCCAAACCCAAGTCACCTGAGATTGATCAATATTCTGATTGAAGCATGGAACACCTGTTCTGGTACCCAACACCCAAGGATCAGAAAGAATTTTAGTACTAACCCCATCACTCACTTGCTTCCTGAAACTGTTCTTGTGTATATTCATAACCTTCACCCAAGAATTCCAAAGCCAAGATGCAGAGGACTTCCTATTAGTATTCAGCACACAGTCATTTGGAAAATATTTCTCTCTTAATATTCTGGTCATACGACAGTTTGGCTTGGTCAGTAACCTCCAAATCTGTTTCAAAATCAGAGAATCATTAAAAATCCTGAAATCTTTAAACCCAAGTCCTCCTGCAGATTTAGGGGTTGTAGCTTTCTGCCAAGCAAGCCAATGTACTCCAGACTGATGCTCCTTACCAGATGACCACCAAAAGTTAGCACATAACTGTGCTATTTCCTTACATACAGCAGCCGACAAACAGAAACAAGACATCACAAAAATTGGCAAAGCTGAGAGCACAGATTTTAATAAAATCTCCTTACCAGCAAAGGATAAGAACCTGTTTTTCCAACTAACAATCTTCTTTTTCACAGCCACAGTAACATATTCAAACACTTTTCTTTTATTTTTACCAATGCCCAAAGGTAGACCAAAGTATCTAGAGGAGTGACATACCTCAATTCCTTGTAGGCATTGACAAATTTCAGCTTTGAGCCCCACAGAAGCATTTTTACTGAAGAAAACTGAAGATTTAGAAAGATTAACTTTCTGCCTTGTAAATCTTTGATAAGCAGCTAGTACTCTGAGCAGATTAATAGCATTATGTAAATCAGCAGCACAAAAGAGTAGAGTATCATCTGCAAACATTAGATGAGACAGAACAGTCTCACCCTTCACAATTTTCAACCCCTGCATATCTCCACTCCTAACAGCATACCCAATCATTTTGGTAAAAATCTCAGACACCAGCAAGAACAGATAAGGAGATAGAGGATCTCCTTGTCTGAGACCTCGAGAAGGCACCACAAACCCAATCACCTTGCCATTAATATTCAAAGAGAAAACAGAAGATGATATGCAAGCAAAGATCCATCTCACAAACACAGGGCTGAACCCCATTTTCTTCATCAATTTAATCAAATAGTTCCACTCAACACAGTCATAAGCCTTCATCATATCCAGTTTCACAGCCATAAAACTTTTCTTCCCACCCTATGTCTATTCAGATAGTGGATGACTTCATGAGCAACTACCACTTTGTCCAAAAGTTGTCTTTCAGGAATAAAAGCTGACTGTGTTTCACTCACACACAAGTTTAGGCATTCTTTCATTCTAGCAGCTAAAACCTTTGCAATGATCTTGTAGGAATCTGAGCACAGACTTATGGGTCTATAGTGGTTAACAGATTCAGGATTTTCACATTTTGGGATTAATGTAATAACAGTATGATTCCAACTCCTCATCATCCTACCAGTATGAAAGAAATTTAAGATAGCTGCACAGAGATCACCTTTAATGAGTGGCCAGAAGTGCTGGAAGAATAGAGGAGTCATGCCATCTTCTCCAGGTGCCTTATTAGGTTTCATAGCAAATAAAGCATCCTTAATCTCAGCTTCATCAACAGCTGCAATCAGTCTAGAATTCACTTCTTCAGAAATAACAGGTGATATGAGTTGCAAGATGTCATCCTCATCATCAGAACCACCAGAAGTAAAGAGAGATTGATAGAAATTAATGAAGCAAGTCTCTATCTGCTCCTGACTAGCTGCAACTCTATTCATATTATCCACCACTCTGGAAATTGCATTCTTCTTCCTCCTTTGTATAGTGACAGCATGGAATAACCGAGTGTTCTTATCCCCACCCTTCAGCCATTGAATCCTGGCTTTTTGTCTCCAGAATTCCTCTTCAGCTACATGAGACTTATCAAGCTCTTTTTTAATATTTTCCCATTCCTCCCAGTTTCTCTGTCCTCCAAGAGCTCTCATTTCCTCCAACTTAAATGTACATTCTGCAATCTTCCTCTCATTCACAGACTTAGTCTTTTTATTCCACTTAGTAAGAGCCATTCAGGTCTGTTTAATCTTCTCTTTCAGCCTATGCATTAAGGATCCCTCCACTGGACTAGTCCAAGCCTTCTCAACCTCTTCTTTGCATCCAGGTTTCTCCAGCCATCTTTTATCAAAACAAAACCTTTTAAAAAATTGAGACTGAGCAGTGCCAGTGTCCAATATAAGCATAGAATGATCAGATGCACTTTTGAAGTATGTCTGAACTTTTGCTCTGTTATTATCCACCATCCAGGAGTAGGAACCAAATACCCTGTCAAGTTTTTCTTCTATAAATTCCTCCCCTCTTCTATTATTACTCCAAGTATACTGATAACCCTCCATCCTCACCTCCAGCATACCCATTCTGGCAATGAAACTGTTGAACTCTTGACAGCTGCTCTGTGACCTCATTCTGCCCCCTTTTTTCTCAGAATCCCCACAAACTGCATTCCAGTCCCCCCCTATGCACCATTTAGAACCCCATGATTTCTGACAGTCTTCTAATTATAGCCATTGAGATCTCCTCTTCTGATAGTCTGTGCTAGCATAAACTAGAATCAGCCACTCGCTGTTCTCAGAGTCCTCCAGCTTATACTCCACTTGCAGACAGAAGTTAAGGTTAATAATCTGTACAATCTCCACCTTCTTACACCATAGCAATAACAATCCTCCACTCTTACCTACTGGCTCCACTGTAAAGTTCCTCTCAGCAAACCCAAGTTTCTTACACACGGTATCAGTAAAAAACTTATTCTTTCTAGTCTCAGATAAGAACACAAAATTTGGGAGGTGGACTCTAATTGAGTCCTTAAGCTGGGAAACTGTAAAGGGTCCTCCCAGACCTCTACAGTTTCACAGAATTGTCTTCATTTATTACCTTGGGGCCATTCAAGGCTGGCTACCCCCACCTGTGCATTATCATCATCAATTTCCTTCCTGGCTTTCTTGGAAACATTGTCAATATTCTCTACTTTCTTTGAAACTACCTGGGAATTAATTGATCTGCCTCTTTTTCCCAACATGATAATCTCCTCCTCAGAGTTAGTTTCCATGGCTCTCTGCAATCTACCTGATTCAGATTTCTTCCTTTTCCAGGTTGAAGATTTCAACTTTTGCATCTCTTGATAACCCATCTGTTCACCTCTCCTTTCTATCACAATCCCCTTGCCTTTAGAGCCCTCTTTAGCTTTGACACTGCCTCTGTCCTCTACCCATTCTTGTTCCCCTCCAATTTGGATGTTCTGGTCTTCAGCCTGGCTCATAGGAATATCAGCTATCTCAGGAACCTTGGATTTGACCACCAGAGCGACTGACATATTATCCTTTGGGAGGTGAACCAGAGGAAGTTCTTCACCTGTTTCCTCTGAAGACTTATCAGCAGCAAAATCCTCCTCATGTGCTGTGTTTGATGGATTCCCTGGTTGCCGCAGATTACTATTAGTTTGGGATGGAGTTGAATTTTGAGAAGAGCCTCCCGTTTTCCCCGTCTCCGTCGCCTTCAACCATTCTCCAAACTGCCCCATTTTATGGATACCTGCCTCAATATCATTAGCTCGAACTTTGCACGCCCTCTCTAAATGTCCCACTAATCCACAATAAAAGCAACAACTAACTAGCTTCTCATACTGGAAAGTTACTCCCAATCTCTGCTCTCCAAGTTTGATATGGGTGCAACGGAGAATTGGTTCTGCAATATCATGTGACACCAAGAGCCTGAGATAACTGCCATGGACACCACCTGACTTGACAACAATAACATTCTTAATTTTCTTGAACAACTTCCCAATCTTCTTTCACACCTCAATGCTTAGCCAGTTTAGTGGTAATTTATGAACTTGCACCCATAAGGATATCTCACCAAACCCTGGATCAGAAGCTATTAATCCCTCTCTCCAATCTTGCAGCACTAGATATTGATTTTCGAATACCCAGTTAACTCCTGCTAACACCTTCTCTTTATCCTCCTTACAGCCAAAGATGAATTCGAAGAAATTTTCCCCCACTTCCTTTACTTCAAAAGCCATATTGGTTTGCCATACTATTCCCATTACCCTCTTCAACCCAAATATACTCGCCTTACGATCCCCAATAATCTTCCCCAGCACACTTCTACGACATTCCTCATCACTTAATCAAACATCATTAGTATCAAGCTCCACATCGTTACTCTCCTTCACCGACAGCTCTAACGCTTGGAACTGATCGCCCAATTCCTCAGCCATCGATGAACCCTAACTCCGTCACCACACCGTACAGTAAAATAAATCAGAAGAAAGAACAATAGAGGATAGATATTGAATCTCTTCCGCAAGAGAATCGAAATCTTCAGCAAGATACTAACATCTCCGGCGAGATAATTTGCTCTCCGACGAGAGAATCAGCTTTAATATCAACGACACTTTTACTAGATGGGCAAGGGGTCTCAATTACTTGATTTACTCATTAGAATAATTCGCTATATATTCGTGAGAGCACTATTTGATCCATTTGTGAACCGTTGGATTTATTACCAAGCATGATATATGATTAATTCGTAAGAATTACTTGAATTACCCTTGGGAGCTATTTGAATTATTCTTGAGATTATTTGACTTGCTTGCGGAATTAGTTGATTCGTGTGGTGAGACATTATTTGATTTGTTCGTGGATATTATCTGATATATGCATGGGATTATTCGATTTGCTCGCGAGATATGATTTGATTTATTCTTGAAAATTATTAACTGGCTTGTGGAGATAATACTTGATATATTCACGAAGATGTTACTTGACCTATTCGAGCAAATATTTGCATATGTTCATGGAAATATTATCTGATTTACTCGAGCAAGTATTTGATCTATTTGTGGAGTCAATCGATTTATTCATGGAAAAATTGATTTTTTGAGGATAAACGCGGGTCATAATTTTGAATTGAGAATATTCTGCGATCATGCTTGACGTGCGTTGGGTATGTTTATCACTCTCGCATCGGTGGGCTTGAGGACATGAATTAAATTTATATATGATTGGTTTCTTTGATATATTCGGAGTCTCTCATTTGGATTTTCATGAGCACATGTGGAATTTTGTCTGAATTAAATTGCCCATAATTTTATGAGCGTGTCATTGCTAGAACATACTTTGAATCGAGAAGATAATGATGTTCGTATTTGATCTTATTTTCCTCGTGTGAAAAATGATAAAATGGATGACGTGAATAAAATATTGATAACGACATCTCTTTGAATTCTTGTCGAGGAAACCACGGGATGATGCAAATCTTGACAAGTTATTGAGACAAATGTTCGAGTGTCGAGAACAAAATGAGCAAACACGAATCTATCATTGTGAGATGACAATGGAGGTTAAGTTTTGATATTGCTGATCACCTGTGGCAATCTCAGAGACAGAAATCAAGTTTCTTTTGGTAAGGTTGGGTAATTCCCAGTGGTATTCTCGACATTAAGGTACACAATTAATCTCAACTCTCGACATTTGTGTTGGTCGACATGATTTATCAATACATTGAATTTCTTAGCACTCTTTCTTGGAGAAATGTGTACCATTCGGAAATATTGTGGAGAAATGTTGTTGGAATCATGGCTTACATGGATATGTTTCGAAACCTTGAACAAAAATCCGGCATGACGAAGGCCTTCGGGCTGGCCAATCTCGAGTCTCCACAATATTTGAATTTTGTATTAGGATGAACTCATTTGAATTTTACTTTCTACATTCGTTTGATGATTGTAGATATTTGCGGAGTA